CACAAAGAATGGGGAGGTGGCAAGGGACCAATAAAAGAAGGCTTTTACTGATGGACTGAAGTGACCCGGAGCAAGTGAGATTACGAGCCAAATGCTTCAAAATCTTACAGAAATGGAGATCCGCCTCACTGACCTGCACRGGAGCTCGGGCCCAGGGTAAGCCTCAGTCCATCCCATCACTGGCTGACCACCAGAGCGCAGACTTGGCCCAGGACTGCCTCTGCCCACTGGCAGACACCCACAGTAGTCAGGCTCAGCCCAGACCTGCCTCACTTGACCTGTGTGGGAGCTTGGGTCCAGGGTAGGCACCAGTCCATCCTGCCACTGGCAGACACACACTGGAGCTCAGGCCTGACCCAGACCCGCCTTGCTGACTTGCACGGGAGCCAGGGCATAGAGTAASTTTGGGTCCGCACCACCACCACCACCTGGGAGCCCAAGTCTAACCCACTTCCATTTTGAGACACTGTAGCCATCCCCATAACCTTCCCCATGCAGTAGCCTCTACTTTGAGACAACAGAYAGAGCCTAGAAGCAGCTGCATCTGGGATCAGGCATCCCAGAGCCAGTATAAGGCCCATTCTTTTAGCCCCATCTAAGACACTGCATCCATCTTGGGGCACCTCTACTGCTRTCTCGAGTTATCTCCTGCTTCTGCTGCCACCACCTATACTTGCAGTAGCATCCATCCTGGGACACTGGCAGGGTCTGGAAACTCAATACCAAGATGAGGTAGAGATAATCTGCACAGATACTACAAGATTATAGGGTAAAAACTGTAATACCTCAGATCCACACTGTAAGAAAGGAAATCACATAGACAACATGGGAGGAAAAACAAGGAAAGAAAAAGGGAGGAAAATTCTCCAAACCAAGTAAGATACTACAATAACAGAACCTATGGACAGCACAGTTGATGAAATGTCAGAGAAGGAGTTCAGAAGGTTCATAATTAAAATGATTTGTGAATTAAAGAATGACCTAAATGAGCAAATACAGGCATCCATTGATCATACCAACAAAGAGATAAGGTAGCAAAAGATTACTTCAAGAAAGATATAGAGATTCTGAAATGAAGGAAATAATAAATCAAATAAAAAGACTCAATAGAAAGCATCACCAACAGACTAGATCACTTGCAAGGTCACCCCAGGGATGCAACATATGGAAATCAATAGTGTAATTCATTACATCAATAGACTCAAAGATAAAAACCATATGATCATCTCCCTAGATGCAGGAAAAAGCATTTGACAAAATACAGCACCACTTTATGTTCAAAACACTAACAAAACTAGGGATAACAGGAACATATCTCAACATTGTAAAAGCTCTCTGTGCTAAGCCACAGGCCAACGTCATTCTAAATGGAGAAAAACTGAAAGCATTCCTTCTAAAAACTGGAATAAGACAAGGATGCCCTCTTTCATCACTCAATTTAACAGTTTTTGAAACACTGGCCAGAGCAATTAGACAAATGAAAGAAATTAAAGGGATATGGATAGGTAAAGAAGAACTCAGATTAACATTATTTGCTGACAATATGATTCTATACCTAGAAGACCCAAAAATATTCTACCAGAAAACTTCTACAACTAGTAAATGTATTCAGCAAAGTAGCAGAATTCAAAATCAACACCCATAAATCAAAGGCATTTCTGATTATCAGTGACAAATTCTCTGAAAGGAAAACTACCCCATTCACAATAGCCTCAGAAAGAAAGAAAGAAAGAAAGAGAAAGAAAGAAAAACAAAACAACAACAACAAAAAACTTGGAATCAATGAAAGAAGTGAAGGACCTCTACAATGAAAACTACAGAACATTAAAGAAAGAAATTAAAGAAGACCTTATAAGATGGAAAGATCTYCCATGTTCTTGGATAGGCAGAATTAATATTGTAAAAAAGATCATACTACCAAAAGCACTATACAGATTTAATGCAATTCCAATCAAAATCCCAATGATATTCCTCATAGAAATAGAAAAAGCAGTCATGAAATTCATCTGGAAAAATAAGAGACCCAGAATAGCTAAAGCAATCCTTAGCAGGAAGAGTGAAGCAGGTGGCATCACTATACCAGATCTTAAGCTATACTACAGAGCAACARTATTAAAAACAGCAAGGTATTGGCACCAAAACAGACTGGCAGACAGAATAAAGGACACAGAGGCTAACCCACAAAATTACAATTATCTTTTATTAGACAAAGGTGCCAAGAACATGCACTGGAGAAAAGATAGCCTCTTCAACAAATGGTGCTGGGAAAACTGGAAATCCATATTCAACAAAATGAAATTAAACTTCTATCTCCCACTATGCACAAAACTTAACACAAAATGGATCAAGGACCTAGGAATTAAACCAGATACACTGCATCTATTAAAAGAAAAATTAGGCCAAAATCTCTATCATGTTGGATTAGGCCCCAACTTCCTTAATAAGACTCCTATAACACAAGAATTAATATCAAGAATCAATTAAATCAGATGGATTGAAACTAARAAGCTTCTTCTCAGCAAAAGAAACAATCAGTGAGGTGAATAGAGAGCCTACAATTTAGGAACAAATTTTTACCACACACATGTCAGCTAGAGCACTAATCTCTAGGATATATAAAGCATTCAAAAACCTTAACACCAAAAGCAAGCAAGCAAASAAATAAACAAATAACCCAATCGATAAATGGGCTAAGAAACTGAACAGACACTATCAGAAGAATATATATAATCAATCAAAAAACATATGAAAAATGTCCATCATTGCTAGCAATTAGAGAAATGCAAATCAAAACTACTCTAATATTTCATCTCACTCCAGTCAGAATGGCAGCTATTAAGAAATACAAACAACTATAAATGTTGGCGAGGATGTGGGGAAAAAAGGTACACTCATACATTGCTGGTGGGACTACAAATTGGTGCAGCCATTATGGAAAGCAGTATGGAGAATCCTTGGAAAACTGGGAATGGAACCACTATTTGACCCAGTTATCCCACTCCTTGGTCTCTACCTAAAGGACTTAAAAACAGCATACTACAGGGACATAGCCACGTCAAAGTTTATAGCAGCATAATTCACAATAGCTAAACTCTGGAACCAACCTGGATGCCCTTTGGTAGATGAGTGGATAAAGAAAATGTAGTATGGATACGCAATGGAATATTATTCAGCATTAAAAGAGAATAAAATCATGGCATTTGCAGGTAAATGGATGAAGTTAGAGAATATAATGCTAAGTGAAGTTAGCCAATCCCCCAAAAAACAATGCAGAATGTTTTCTCTGATTTAAGGCTGCTGATTCATAATGTGGTGGTAGTGAGGGTCATGGGAGGATTAGATAAACTCTAGGTAGGGCAAAGGGGAAAAGAGGAGGGAGGGGAAAGAAGGGGACATGGGTGTAGGAAAGATGGTGGAATGAGGTGGACATCATTATCCTARGTACATGTAAGAAGACACGAATGGTGTGACTCTACTTTGGATACAAACAGAGATAAGAAAAATYGTGCTCTATATGTGTAATATGAATTGTAATGCATTCTGCTATTATAAATACCAAATTAAAATTTTAAAAATGTAAAATGGGGAAAAATGACATTCAGAAATGTCACTACAGAAATGGCCCACACCTGTAATTCTGAGGACTTGGGAGGCTGAAGCAGGAGGATGGCAAGTTTGAGGTCAGCCTGAGCAATTTAGAGAGGCCCTAGCAAGTTAGYGAGACCCTGTCTCAAAATAAAAAATGAAAAGGGCTGGGGATGTGGCTCAGTGGTTTAGCGCTTCTGAGTTCAATCCCTAGTACTAAAAGAAAAAAAAAGGCCCAAAGTCACATTAATTGGTCGAGTCAAGTAAGAGTGTTATCCTATTTCCCTCTTCTGGATGCTTCTGCCTGAAAGGGTCAAGACTCCTGACCACAAGGGGAGTGAAAGGCAGGGCAAGCTGGAGGCCAAAGGGGGYCTGGGGAGGCAGGAATGAGCTGCGCAGGTCAACCAATACTCAGGGCTGGACTCATAAGGCGGCTAGAACCTGCAGATCCTGTTGTCATTTTTGAGTTCAAGTGACTGTGGGACCTTATATTTCTTTTCAGTGATCACAGTGCCCTAAACTCTCAGCCAAAGTTAGAGGAAATTCTCTCTGGGTAAATTTTATTTTTTTATAATTTTTAAAAAATATTTCTTATTAGTTGCAGATGGACACAACACAATGCCTTTATTTTTATGTGGTTCTGAGGATCTAACCTGGGTCCCACCTGTGCTAGGTGAGCACTCTACCGCTGAGCCACAATCCCAGCCCTCYGGGTAAAATTTAAAGAAACAGTGAGGGGCAAAATAAAGATACTTTTTAATTACATTTCAGGAGTCTTGTCTCCTTCAACATACTCATTTCAGAAATAAACCTTCCTGTTTTGGTTTTCCATGGTGTTGGGGATGGAATCCAGGGTCTTGTGCTCACATGCTAGACAAGCKCTCTACCACTGAGCATGCCACCAGACCCTAAAACCTCCTGTGAAAAGCCACTTCTGGGCCTGGGGGGGGGGCGGTGAGCTCAGTGTTCAAGCAGTTGCCTAGCATGCCCAGGGCCTTGGGTTTGTTCCCCAGCACTGAGAAAAAAAAGAAAAGAAAAGAAAAGAAAAGAAAAGCCACCTCTCCTGGTCTCCAAATTATCTGAGCAACTGAAATTTAAGAGTGTTTATGATGAGAAGATAGAATGACACATTTCCTACCTGGGTCCTTTTTCTTTCCCAGCACTTTTGCTAGCAACAGTGTTTCTTCCAGAAGCAGGCTCTGTTCTCTCTTCTGTGGGAGATCCAAATCCAGTGCTAATACGAAAACTAATGATTTTTTTTTTGAGTCATTTGGAAAATATCACAAACAATTATAATCATTCAGAAAATAMCAATATGTTATATTTTCAAGGCATTTCACGGTTTATAAGGCCTTTCCCCTTTTGATTTGATTCTTTTTGCCATTAGGAAGCAGGGGCTACACATCATTCCCTCCACAGCTAAGGAAGCCAGACCTGCCCAGAGAACTGACTCAGGTCYTTCCACATACTGCAGGGTCAACAGCAGACAAAAGGGGAAGCCCAAATCTCCCAGCTCCTATTTCAGAGATCTTTGCTACAGCAATTTAAAAAGCAATTATGCAATTATATTACCGTAAGAAGAAGCAAAAYCATGTTGCCAAAATCTAAAAAAAATTTCACTTCCAGATTAARGGGAGAGTTATTTGAGTATAAATAAAACATCATTTTCTTACTTGGTCTTCTCTCTACTTCCTCTTCTTAAAGAAGATGAAGAAGAAATACTTCTTCCATAGCCAACATCTGATGATTTATCGTCCATAGATGGAGGTGGAGAACTAAAATTTGACACATTTGAAATTATTTTTTTTAATTTTTATTTTATGTATTTTATTTGTATGTGGCCCTGAGACTCAAACCCAGYGCCTCACATATGCCAGGCAAGCACTCTACCACTGAGCCACAATCCAAGCCCACATTTAAAATTATTTATGAATTAAAATAATTTGTCAATATTGTAAAAAGAACAGATTTCTTTCTGAAAGCCAYATTTGGAGCAGACTTTTAACAGGAACATACTATTTTAAAAGCATAAAGGAGAGATTAAGACACAAAGAATATCACAAAGCATTTACACACTGGAACAGGAAATATTTATATAAAATGTATGACCTTAGTACTATATTAGCTATATAGATATATGTGATCATTTTAAAAAATGTTGAGCTTTGATTTTTTTAGTTCTATCATTTACTTCTTATTTCAAAGAAAAATGCTGGGTTGTTACACTCAAGTACACAGTTCTAGACACTCATAAACAGAACTCATCTTGGTTGACTCCTATCTACCCTTTCTGCAGTTACTCTAGGAGTGAGAATCCTGACTTCAGAAATCCACTGGAAATTGAGGATAACATGGTGTCAAAGGAAAAGAGCAGAGAACAGTTTGCACTGGTAATGGAGGCTGGTTATTCTGTGTCTGGCTGGGAGTTTATGGACCACTGTTTGTTTTTATGGTAGTGTTAGATATAGGAGAAGAGAAAGATGCTGTGCTGGTAATCTTCACATAGTCACATGCTGACAAACAAAAAAAACAAAAYCAAAAAATGTGTTTTMCTGCACCTCCTGCCCCCACCTAAAGACTCACTTATCAGAAACTTTACTGTTGATCAAGAGTACAGCTCGTTGATCACTTGGTTCTTGAAAGCAGAGCTCCTTCAATGGCAAAAGTTTGGTGCCAGGATTTATCTGTAAGATAGTTCAAGAACTGAAAAGTATTCTCTGTATGAGTCAGGATTTTTTAAAATAAATTTTGATGCACTATATTCTTGACAGCTTGTTAAATTCATTTACATACACGTCATATCTGTGTGTGTGTATCTCCCTCCCCCCTCTTTCATATATTAACAATATGTTATATTTGCAAGGCATTTCATGTTTTAAAAGGCCTTGAGGAGAACATGGTGTTGAGAGAGAGAGAGAGAAAGAGAGAGAGAACTGGGCACTGACACTGTGGATATTCTTGCCTTTGGGTGGGGTACATCTCTCCAGTTCCTCACAACCTTTACTGTCTCAGCTATTTCTTAGCTCCTGAAAGTATCCAAGTTCACAGTCCATYTATATGCCTCAGAGAGAATTTACCGTTGTAAAAGTAAGTGCTGAAACTGACTTTTAAAGTGCCACAAGGACATTTAAGCCTTAGACAGGCAATTTTTATCAGCCAGGTAGAAGAGGATGGTCTAGGATCAACCTCTGAGCTCTGAGATCTCTTTCCAGTTAACTGATGGTTAGATCCTGTTCTCATCCAAGATACTTTTCATGATCCTTTTAGAATAAGGCAAAGTGGTCTTTTTAAAGGAAGACAGATCCCATCCTTCTTCTGTCCCAGATCCTCGCCAGTTTTCCATTTCATTCAGATTTAAACCCAAGTTCTTCTGATGGTCTTTTGGCAGCCCTTTATGACTCTGATTGAGTTACTACTCTTCTCTCACTTTGTCCTGTCAAGGATGTTTACCCCTTGCGGCTTTTGCACTGGTTATGTGTGTCACAGGGTGTTAAAGGGTATGGTGGAAGTGCTGGAGGAGGAGCCAGAGTAAAGTTTTAGACTAGTTGTTTTTCATTATTCAATTTTTCTCACATTCTCTCACATGGTTGAGACCTCCCTTGCAAATACAGCTCAGTTATCTTTTATGGTCCTGTCTTCTCTGCTTCTTTGAACCCAATTGGTCCAAGAAGGTTTCTGCTTCCAGCCTTGCTCAGTCCAGTTTTGAATTCCTGCACCTGCCCAGCAAAGCATATGGCTTTTGCTCTTTCGAGTTCTCCTAGGGCCTCAGGAAGTATATACGTGATGGAACTTTCTGAGATCTGCCACCACTAGCTCTCTCACTCCTCTGTGGTTTTCCTCCCTTTGTCATTTTTCCTCTTGCAGAGGCTCTACCTGACCTCAGGGACTTTAGGTAATGCTCAAATTTTTTGAAGTCTTTAAATCATATTGTTTTCTCAGTTTTGCGAAGTTCTAAAGTTTTCTCCACGCCTCTTATTGCCTTTGGTTTTTAAAATTAGTTAAAAAAAAAAAAAAAGAAATTCCAACTTAAGCAGCCACATCAAAAAGTCCTCAAGATATTAATTTTTCTTTCTGTTTTTCTCAATATAATGCTGAATTATACTATATATTGTTTTGAAATTCCATCATAAATACAATTAAGTAAAATAATATTCTTCTACATTTTAAAGCCTAGTACTAGAATTTGGTTAGATTCAATCAGAGTCTAATTAATGAAATGAAAAACATATTTTTATTCACTAAGCACAAGAAGTAATAGAACCAAAATTTAAAATGACCCTTTTATAGCTTATCTGACACTTGAGACTGGCATTAGCAAGATGATTAAACTACAAATAATTAGATTCTGGTTAAAACTGTATAAAAATGTGAAATCTTATAACCAAAGTTAAGGATAATGTGCTGAYTTTCAAATTTCTGCTTCTAAAAATATAAATTATATATAGTGCTCATAAAATGGCCATGTAATGGCATCATGATTAAAGGAAAAATTATTACCCTACATACTAAAACACARTAAGTGCTGTCACTTACCCGACCATAATCATAGAATCCATCACTAATTATGTTATTTGACAACAAACAGCCAGTCTGGCTATATTTCAGAGAGAGATTATTGTTGAGCAATTTATTATAAGCTGCTTCACTGAATTTATTTTTTCGTCTCACTGATAGATTAATTTCTTCAAGGATATCTATAGCCCTGTCAATAAAAGCAAAAGACATTATTTGCTTTCTAGGAGAAATCCAACCTTGAGCTCTCTCACTTACATGCTTAAGGTTCTGAAGGAATTGAGATGCAAAGATGAATGCCTCCCGATCCATCTAGATAACGTAATACTGACAAAATTATGAAGACAAATCAACCCTTTTGGAGAAGATATATGCCAGGTAGTGACTCATATTCAAACGGTTGTGAAAACAAAACAAAACAAAACAAAACAAAACAAAAAAACTATTGTGGTTTGGGTTAAGTGTCTTCCAGCAGCTCATGTGTTGGAGGCTTGGTTTCCAGTCTTTGGTGCTCTTGGAAGGTGGTAGAACCTTTCAGAGTGGATCTAGTAGGAGGAAGTTAGATCATGGGGKCATGCCTTTGCAGGGGATATTGGAACCCTAGTCCCATCCTCTGCCACTTACTTCCTGCTAGGATGCCACTAGCCCCAAAGCAAYAAGGCCAACTGATCATGGACTGAAGCCTCCAACACAGTGAGCCCAAACAAACCTTTCCTCTTTGTAAGTTGATTCATCTCAGGTATTTGTTGYGGTAGTAGAAAGCTAGCTATCACAAACACTTTTAGGGGAAAAAAAGAATCATTGTCTATTTAAAACAAAAGTAGTATTGGACCCCAACCTTTTCAGGTAACCAGACAGTATATACAAAAAATAAAAATGGTTAGGAATTAGTAGAGTAATTGTAAAACCCTGTTTGCTGCTATGCTAAGGGCAACTAAATTCATCTGCTGTTTGTAAGAAGAACAGATTAGGCCAGGTAGGTGAATCAGATAATTCTGGTAAAAAAAATAATAACAAAAAAGGTTTGGATGGCTGGGGAAGAAAAACTGAGATGATATCATCACTTGCCTATTTTATTTTAGTCTTAAAATTGAGAGACAAATAAGATTGGGTTTGGCAACAGCAGAGGAAAGGGAAAGAGAAACATGTATCAAGATGGAGAAGTGAGAMAGGAAATAATGAAGCTGGCTGGGTAAAGGGCAGTGGGGCAGCTGATRGGGAGGGATGGGGAAGGACGCCTGCCTCTAGGCAGTGCTTCCCATCTTCAGCTCCTCGTCTGAGCTGGAGACTTGAGATGGCATCCACTCACCCGAGCCGGCATAACTCCACCGCCATTGGCTCCTCGCTGGCACAGACCATCACGGCCCAACTGGCATGCCTTCTCACCTCGTCATTCTTGGAATACAGGAGCTCCACCAGGGGTTCCAGTCCACCACAATTTCTTAACTAAAAGCAGAAACCAAAATTTCGCACATTAAGAATATAAACATTCATGCTTAAAAACAAAAAAACCCCTCATTGTTTGATTGTTAAAGTGTTTGGGTTTTTTTTTTTGTTTTTGCTGGGCCCTCTACCACTGAGCCACATCCCCAGCTCTATTTTGTATTATATTTAGAGACAGGGTCTCACAGAGTCGCTTAGTGCCTCACTATGGCTGAGGCTGGCTTTGAACTCACAATCCTCTTGCCTCAGCCTCCTGAACTGCTGGGATTAGAGGTGTAGGCCACCGTGCTCAGCTSTTAAAGGTTTTTATGATTTAAAAATGTGTCTCTATATAGAGTTATTAAATGTAGGGGAAAATCAATTATAAACCTTTATAGACAGGAGCCCATTTTCTATAAGAAGAGACCCCCACAGAGGGAACTCAGCATGATGGCATGTGGTAGGGGTGGGTGGGGTAGGAGTCTGTCTTCTCACTGCCTACACAAGAGATGCTCTGTGCTGAGATACTCTGCTCCTGAACACTGAATCTTCACTCGGTCCTATGGTAGTCTGAGTAACGCCCTCCCCCCCCCACCCACACACACAATGGTGTGCTTATTCCTTGGTACATGGAATAAAACTAAGGATTTTGAGATGGAGATTATCCTGGATTATCCAGTAGGCCCAATATGAATACCAGGATCCTTCCAAGGAGGAGACAGGAGTGCCAAAGCAGTAAAAACTGTGATAGAAGCTGAGATTGCAGTGATATGCTGTGCAGATAGATGAGGGGAATAGATGAGCCAAACAATGCAAGTGACTCGAGGAGCTGGAAAGGGTAAGGAAATGGACTTTCCCCTAAAGCCTCCGGAAGGAAAACAGTCCTGTTAACAATTTGACTTGGGCTTATAAGACCCATTTTTGGATTTGTGACCTCCCAAAGTGTAAGATAATAGCTTTTTATTGCTTTAAGCTACTAAGTGTTGATAATTTGTTATAGCAGCAACAGGAAACTAATACAATCCCAAGGCTGGATTAGAAGCAATCAATGTGGGCAAGCAGCACCCACATCACTGGACATAGTCACCAAGCTAGCAGTGTGGCCAAAGCAATATTGAAGCAGTTCTCTAGAAAAAGACCCACCATTGCTATCTGCACAGTGTCCTTTTATTTCTTTAACAAGTAGAGAAGAAAAAGAACAAGAAAAGAATTTGAAGGAGCTACATTAATTACTTTAAATAAATTACTAATGTGTAAAATTGTTCTAATCAGGAATAAAAAGAAAAAAAAGATCTGACAGAGCTCTTGTCTCAGGTCTGAAATGTAATACTGGGACTGGGGATATAGCTTAGTACTTGCCTTGCATGCACAAGGCCCTGGGTTCAATCCAGTATCACACAAAAAAATAAATAAATAAATAAAATGCAATACTGTATTATTGGAGCCGGGAGGACCAAAATAATATTCTATCAAATATTAGTACCAAAGACAATATCCAAAGTTGAGAGCCCTCGTGGGCCATGTTCCACTTTCAGTCATTCTTGTCTCAAACTCAGACTCTGGCAAGACTTTCACATTAGCAAACGTAACTTGGGCAGCTCAGAAAAGTTCTTTTAGCTCCCTATGCTTAGCAAGTCAAATTTCTGAACATCTTTGTTTCTGGGAAAAACACAAGATAGTTATCAAACTCCATGTGTTCCCTTGGTAAATACCTAATTCATTTATTAATTCCTCCATTCACTCATGCTCTCATTCACTAGTCTACAGTATGTACCCGGTATATGTTAATGACCCAGACACAGGGAAGAAAAACCTCAGTTCCCTTCTTCAAAACCTCAAAGAGCCTATAGTCCTTCACGCAAGAACCATAAAGTGCAAAAGGGACAAAAAGGAAGTGATGTGTGGAGTGTAATGGAAGCACAGAGGATGATGAACTCAACTTTGAAGACTAAAAAAAAAAAGATTCACGTAGGACAAGACAGTTGATCTGTATTTGTTTGTTTGTTTATTTATTTATTTATTTATTTTTGTGGTTCTGGGAATCCAACCCAGGGCCTCATGCATGCTAGGCAATCACTCTCCCACATAGTTACATCCCCAGCCCCTGAGCTGCCTTTCAAAAGAGAAAGAGGAATCTATCAGATGGATGACAGAGAGACTAGCTTTCCATGCAGAGAAATCAAGGAGGTGTAAGTGAGAGAATGGCACATTCTGATAGAACAACAAACAGTGTGGTATTTCTGGGGTGTAGAGTTCCACCTGGGAAGAGCTGGAATTTGGGCTGAATAGGTAGGCAGGTGAGGATCATCCAGGGCCCTCGAATGTAACACTAAGCTCTTTAACCCTTACTATGTGGCAGTGGAAAGCCAYGGGAGACTTGCAATGGTGTGATGAAGATGACATATTTGAAAGATTGGTCTGGAGGAGGTATGAGGAGCAAAAGCAGTAAAGAGCCTTCTGAATCTTCCAGGAACTAGACGGACTGCTCTGCAAACTCATGCAGGAAAATGTGGTCATAACACTTGAGTTTATCACTGTGTTCCCAGTGCCTAGCAGAGTGCCTGGCACATAGTACTTGACAAATAAATATCTGGTGGATACCTGAATGGATGAGTAACAGGAATAAGGGAAGGAGATAGAATACATATCTAAGAAACAAAAGAAAAATGAGTAGGACAGCATGAGTATCAAACTTGGGCTCTGGACTTGGGTGTGCTCTCATGTCACTTTCTAACTCTGCTTTGCACATCTTATTTCTCTAAGCCTTCTCTTCCTCATCTGTAAATTGGATTGCAAACACGCCTGTTTCACTGAGGCTTGAATGCTTAGCACAGAGCCTGGCACAGAGTAGGTGCTCGGTAAATGTTAACTTTCCTTATTTTTATTGGGTAAAAGGAACAAAGTCCTTGAGTGTTTGAATGAGTTCAATGGTAACACATTTCAAAAGGCAAAAATTGAGAGAAAAAGGATGTTTGTAAGTTTATATCAAATTTTAGTAAAGATATACTAGTCTCACCATAAGCACCAAGATTTTTATATGATCAGTCTTAAAAAAAAAAACTTATATGTTTAAAGTTTATGATGTACAAAAGAAACACCAGAATATAATCTACATGTGTAATTTAAATAATCCTAATAAAAGGCAGTCTTGTTTGTCTACCATGGTGCATTTCAATGACCTTGAACCCTTGTGTGTGTCTCCCAATCGCATCCACTCCCTAAATCTCCCCAGAGCAACCATTTTCTTGAATTTGGGATTAATTATTACCTTGCTTATCTTTATCATTTTAACTTATATATTTGGATGCCTAAACAACATAGAGCTTAGCTTTGCAAATTTCTGAATGCTGCATCGGAATCGTAAGTATTGTTTTCTACCACTTGTCTTTACTCAGCATCCGGTTGATGGAATTCATTCCTGCTGATGTCAAGCTGTGGTTGATTTCATTTTGACCTACATGAGAGTCAATTTTGTGAATACACCATAATTTATTCATCCGTTCTCTTAACACTGGGACAAATGATTTGTTTCCAGTTGTTTAGATATTATAAACAATGCTTCCTGGTATGCAGAGGTGAGAGAATCTCACATAGAAACAGAATTGCTGGGTTGCTAGGATTTACTCACCKTCTTTACTTAAAAATGCCAACTTGTGAGCGCCTGCCTAGAGTGTGCAAGGCCCTCGGTTCATTGCTCAGCACTGCTTAGAACAACAAACCCACCAACCCCCAAACTGCACAAAATGCCAACTTGTTTTTTCAATGTGGTGTTCCAGTTATGAAAGGACTTAAATCACAGAAAGGCTCACGTACTTGAAAATGTTTCAAATGCATCCACTAATAGGTACTGAGCAGGAAAACCAGAATGAATGTCTCACCCCTGTCCGAGCCTCCACGTCGCACGCGGTGGCAGCCACGGTGAGCGCGGCTTTGCTCTGCACCACCGGGTTGTCAGAGCGCAGCGGGCCCAGGAGGGCGTGCATGATGTCGCGGCCCTGGATGCTGGCGCGCAGGGGCTCCTGCATGGCCATGTTGGTTAACACGGTGGCGGCGTTGGCAATGGCTCCTTCTCGTTTGCTAGACAGGATGTTTATCAGTGGATCGATACCGTCGGCTTCAGCAGCAGCACTGAGTAAATGAGGGAGAAACGATTGCGATTCATTTGAGTTCAAAAAATGATCTTTGGAGCATTCAACAAAGCTTATACAGCAAATGCACACAGAAATGACGATTTTAGAAATTAATTTGTCATACAATGAACCCAGAATTAGGTGCGGTGGTAAGCGGAGTCTGGGAAAATTTCAGGTGTGAATGAATTAAAATAATCCTTTTTTTTCTATTTCCACAGGTTTTGGTTATAGGAAAAAATATGCATATTACTTTGTAAGGAACTCTATTAAATAAACTTTTTAWTTTTTTTCCTCAGTGATACTTATAAGACTGGGAAATTCTGTTCAAAGAAAATCTATTAGACTGTTAGGGGAAACAAAACTTTAAATAGGGAAAATAAGGGAGCATAGAAACTCCTGATTTAAATTAAAATTCTTTAGATCATCTTCCCTTTCTTGAAATGAGAGTGTTATTTGTAGGCAGAGGCTAAAATGGTTAAAACCAGCAAATTTTTTACATATGAATTTTGATTTTACAAACTAAATGTCAAAGATCAAGATCATGGTGTTGCTATAGATAATTTTAGGAATGTAGGTACATTTAATTTTTAAATTTCCTATTCCAAGGGCTACAGTTAGCTATTAATAACTTAACATTCTTTTCACAATTAGAAAACCTCTTTAATAACTGTCTTTTAAGAACATAGTATTTTCTATGGTCTCTGCATTTTAATCATTTTAAAAATCTCACAAAAGAGTAAAAAAGAAAATTAGAGTATTTAATGAGTGGGAGACCCCTTAATTAGATTCTTTAATATTTGGAATTGCTTTAAATAGATGATGTTCAAGCAATGAGATCAAGCTGTTCAAACAATAAGATATACAGAGCATCCTGGTTTTAAATGAAGACCCAGAATCATGTGTTAAAAAATCCACTTTAATCATCATGTTAATAGAGATCATCAAGATCATAAAAATTCCAATAATATGAACAACTCTTTTAAGTTTACATTTTACACATTTTTTTTTCCATTTAAGGTCACATAATAACCAAAACTGAAAAAAAAAAAAAAAAAAAAGGTGAGACTACATGATTTAAGCCACCACTCTGCATTCTGAGGCATTTAATTTGGCACTGTCACTTAAATTGGCTGATTGTGAGGATTGGAGACCTCAAGAATGGAAGTTATAACAATTGTCCCTAAGAGAGCCAATGGCAATTAAGATCCTGGTAAAGAGACTGGTAGCCCATGGTGAAGGGAGGCTGTGATTCTGGCACAAACTGGTGTGGAAGGAAGCTGGACAACAGGGTTGGACAGGAATGCCATGGGCTGGGAAGGCAGCTCTGGAGAATGACRGACTCCATTGGTGTTGGCTCTGAAGGGCCACTTCCCACTCTGGCTTATGTATACCAGTCCATCAGTCCGATTCCATCAAACACACTGTACTGATCCCAAGGTTAAGCAAAGCCTAATTCCATTTCTCCAGGCCTTAGTGTATAGTTACCGACCATTCTTGTTATATCTTCTTTTCTTTCTCTGGGAAGATGTTTCTTAAAATTAAACTTTGTCTGACTGYTATATAACCAATGTTTACTTGTTTTGTATAAAATGTTGGAAGGCCCTGCATCTCACTATGATAGTCCAAGGGCTAGCATTCAGTTTCCTTTCCCAGGGGACAAAATAAACACTTGTTAAGATAATCTCACTTTTGGGCTGGGAATGTGGCTCAAGTGGTAGCACGCTCACCTAGCGTGCGTGAGGYGCTGGGTTTGGTTCTCAGCACCACATAAATGTGAAATAAAGATACTGTATCCACCTAAAAACTAAAGAAATAAGTATTTTAAAAAAGACAATTTCACTTTTAATTCTCTGATAAAATAAACATTCGTTAAGATAGTTTCACTTTTAATTCTCTCTCCTATTATTAATTGACATRGTGATCATTTGGTCTTATGAATAAGGAAAAATTTTTAGTTTCTAATTTTTTAATTTACCAGAAACTTCTCATATTTTTTCAAGTTATACATATTTTACAGTTAAAACATTGAATTTTAGATACTTATAGCAAGACCAYTGTTGTTKCTGGGAATARAATCTAGGGCCTMGAACATGCTTAGTATGTGCTTTACTASTGAGATACACTCCCAGTCCCTGGAATTTTAAATTCTGTATATTTTCTAACTAATATATATTTAAATATTTTCAGAGATCATTTTCCCTTTTGAGTAACTTTTCAGGCACCTAATGCAATCAGTCCCTTAAATCATATACTTTATATTTTTTAATCATCATAAACATGCCTTGGCCAAAATGCCATCCTTTATCAAGTGACAGGGTTGTTTTTTTTTTTCTCTTTGACAATATTCACTTTTTAAAACATCTTGGAAAGTTCAGAAAGAGCACACAATGGAGGTATTTCGACGGCTTCTGTGATAGAAGTCAGAAGTATTTTAAGAACATGCATACCAAATAAGTCCTCAAAGGCTTTGTCTTTTATGTGCATCCAAGAGATTTTGGAAAATTCAATGAGTATGTAGGATCACACCCCATCATTCTAGTTTCTCTTGAAACCAAGAAACTAAGAATTACTGGGTCAAATACAGGAATTTCTATCAGGTTTGACAGATTTCTCAGACTGCTGCATTGATTTTGCCTTCCTTCTCCTGCATGAAGACACATTTTGCATTGCTCCATATCTCTGCATTCTGCTCTTTTCTTTGCTCTTTATGGAGGCAGTAAAGGGAAGTACATAAAAATCTAGCTGTTTAAAAACCCAAAGATTCTAGTACACAGGGAAGATAGCTTTTATTACATTGACATAAAAGCCAGCACAGGAAGACAAATCCTGCCTTCACATCTTGGAAGAACCACYGGCATTATCTGCACATTATCTGTCCCTCATTTGCTATGTCCAGCTCTAAGTCTGAAAAAAGAACACCTGAAATTAACTTAATCATAGAAAATTAAACTATTGTTCTYACCTAAGGAAACTAATTTCATTCATAGAAAAAGTGCAGAACTTGCACTTTTTACCAAAAATAATTGCCTTAATTTTGTTTCTCTCAAGCTAAAGACATCATTTTATTTTTCTCTGCCTCTAATAGGGAAACAGGCTGAAGACTGTCACAATTTAAAAACATTCCAGTTTCCTAAGTAGTATAGTATTATCCAAATGAATGGGACAGAAGTCAAACAGCTTTGTTATAAAATCCAGAATTATAGGGCCATATGTCACCACAAATAATTTAAAAATATTTTCTGATATTTGCTATCATGAGTCTCCATCCAGTTGAAGTTTAATCAAGTAAGATTTAAAATGTAAATTGAAAACAAACCTAAAAAGCAAAYCTAGGAATGTATAAAAATATCTGTTTACATCATGTGACACATGTAAACAAAGATGAAGTTTGACATGTCATGTATATCCAATCTATTACCGGGTCCTGACTATTTTCCTCTTCCATTTTTTTCTCAAATCTCACTCCTCAGTCCATCATTCTACCAAATTTAATCCAACAGCCTCTTTAAATACAGACTCTAAATACAGACTGTCCCTGACTTACAATTTATGATTTTTCAACTTCACAATGTTGTGAAAGCAATGTACATTCAATAGAAACCACACATTTGCATGTTTTACCAGGTCAGTAATGTAAGGTACTCTCTCACCATGTTGAGTATCACTCATGAGCCATAGCTTCCAGTCAGCCAAAATGATCATCAGAGTAAACAACTGGTACCTGCAGGATGCTGTGTTGCTAAGCTACAGTGCACAGAAAGTTACTATATTAAATACATTTTGGACTTAGATGCTTTCAGCTTACAATGGATTTATAGGAATACTCATTGTAAGTTGAGGAGCACCTATAATCTCATCCCCACCCTGGTCCTTTCTCCATCTTACAACTAAAGCTATCTTTTAAAATCACAAATGTAATTATATTGCTTCTCTACTTAAAACACTCAAGGTTTCCCATTGCTCAGGATAAACCCCAAATATATTATATGGCCTCCACAGAGACTTTCAATATGCTGGGCTCTTTCTCACTTCAGAGTACTCCCATGTGCTTTTCCCACTTCCTGATATCCTCTTCCCACTGGATAATTCCCATTCAACTTTCATAGTCCAATACAAATGTCTTTTTCAAGAGATTGTTTTTTTTTCTTCTCTTTTTCTTTTTTCCTTTCTTGGTTGTAGAGGTGTTTTACTGAGCTGCATCCTCACCCTTTTCATTTTTTTATTTTGAGATACATTCTCACTAAATTGCTGAGGTTCTCACTTAGTTACTGAGACTGGCCTTGAACTTTCGGTCTTCCTACCTCAGCCCCCTGAGTTGCTGTGATTGTGGGTATGTATCATGGTGCCTGGCCAAGGAAACATTACTTGATCCCCAAACTGGTCTCTTTTTAAAGGTGAGCTCAGTGGCTTTGTTTACTAAATGTGAACTTTTCTTTTTGTTTAAAAAATCATATTTAATGGGGGGCACAATGGGGTGCACACCTGTGATCCCAGCAATTTGGGAAGCTGAGGCAAGAAGATTGCAAATTCAAAGCCAGCCTCAGCAATTTAGTGACACCCTCAACAACTTAGTGAGACCTTGTTTCAAAATGAAAAATAAAAAGGGCTGGRAATCTACTCAGTGATAAAGTGCTAATGGGTTGAATCCCTAGTACCTTACCAAAAAAAAAAATTGTTTTGGCATAATCAGAGAAAAGTAACAATTTAAAAATATTATTTTACTGCATTTGTTATGGGTTAGAATTGAGCAATTAAGCAGTCTTTCACATCCCAAAGCCCCACAATGAAAAAACATTTGCAGCTGGGTGTGGTGGTGCATGCCTATAATCCCAGCAGCTTGGGAGGCTGAGACAGGAGGATCACAAGTTCAAAGTCAGCCTCAGCAATTTATTGAGAACCTAGCAACTTAATGAGACCCTGTTTCAAAATAAAAAATAAGGGCTGGGACGTGGCTCAGTAGTTAGGCATCCCTGAGTTCAATCCCTGGTACAAAAAATA